CGATAACTTCAATCCTTTCTAGTAGATGGCATTGAGTCATCTCAATTTGAGAACTTCTTATAATCAACTGTGAAATTTTTTTTTGAAAATTTAGGGAACTTTAATGACTCAGTGCATTAGGTTTTTCCGTGTACGTTTGACAACGCCGCCTTAATTCAGTTCACTTAGCATTAATTCAGTGATTTCGCACATTAACTTGAAAATTCTTTGCTTTTTGGAATCATTAGTTTCTGAGAAGAACTTAGTCAATTTGAATAATGTAGAGTTAGATTTACAAAACGGTGAGAAAACTGAGTAATCCTGAAGATAGATTATAATACCTCAAGCATTGTCAAAGCTGTATCTCCTAGGCAGAATATGACATTAATTAAATGATTTATCGTAACAACCAAGAGCACGACATTCTGTACTTGTGTTATGCCCAAAATTAAAAAAATCTAATGATTTAATTAATCTGACTGCTCCAATACCTACAGTAATTAAACGATTAAACATTAGAAAGAGTTACGCGGAAAACGGTGTCAGATGTCTATGGACAAGCCTAAAATTTTGTTAGCATGAAGGATTAGTATAAGGGGCTGCAACTCTGTATGCCACATGCTTCTTGAATGTATTTCATTTTATTCTTTAATCCTGCACGAAACGTTAGATGGGCTTCTCAGACCTCAACTAATCATGCCGTGACTTGTTGAATTAATTTCGATCAATTATCAACTCTGATAACGCAGAGAAAAGAATTTGCTTGTTGCAGCTCAGATATGGAGAAGCGGCGGTTTTCAAAGTGGCTATTAAACCGAGTGAACTTTGTGCTGAGAGATCCTTAAAAGAGATAACAGAATAACGCGCCCACCTCTAGCACTCTCCGACCGTGCAAACACTGACGAACATGAGTTTATTTTACATTCACCCATATCTTGGAAGATCTAAATGAGATAAGTGTTGAGGACTTTGAAGAGATACATGAGCGGAAAAAATGTTAGCAAACGGCTGCCACGTATACTTCAACAAAGAATGAAGCTAGATGGAATGGGAGTAGGAATAATTGCACTCTAGAGCGCTTATCAGCTTAGATGGTAAAAAAACCTAATGTTGTAAAGATATCATGTATGTGGTTTCTGTGGCCTCTTTCACTCGGCATTGACGCTACGACTCTGAGGTTCCCTTTTTATCGAAATACAAATAATAAAGTAAGAATAACGCTATAAGAGACAAGTAGGACTATTAATACGCTATAAGATAATATGTGGAACGGTACACACCGTCATCGCATCTCAATTATACTTTAGATCCTCCCCCCTCCCCCAATGCTTCTTCCAGCCAACGGCATATATCGTAGGTAAGGCTGTATAGGTCAGACCTCGGCGGCAGGTCTCCGGAAGGCAAGCTGAAATTCGTTTTTGTGGAAAAAGCAAAGGGGAAGTCGTATGGGACCCGGAGAAGAGCGGCAATCTCAATTAAGACCGCTTTTTCCACAACAAGAATGTTGAAGCTACCTTCTCCCTTCCCCCTCCCCCCTCTCCTTCCTAGCGCGGATGTTCATGCATGCGGCCTAACTATTTCCGTCTTGTTCACTACTCAATTCAGAGTAATTCCATACACACTTAAAGACCGTTCAAAAGCCTGCTCCAGCAAGTCAATGTTCGTTCCAATGCGGGCGTTTGCGCGGGAAACTTGAACAACAATTCTGGAAATCGTTCAAACCCGTTTTTCTAAGCGAATAAGCAATGAACAGCCATCAAAATTGGCATGAAGATGCACAACAAAGAGTGGAAGAAGTGTTTGAAAAATCTTTGAAATATGCTTATAGCAAACACTTTTTGTACTCTTTGACCCAACTTACAGCGCAATAACCAGGTCAAAACACTTTCTCCCTTCCTTGCTAGGGCCCTAATTCGTATTACCTTAGTGAAGAAAATGCGCTCCAAATATACCGCACTGCAATGCTTTTCCTGATTGTACGTGTCTGTACAGGTTACAAAGGGGGCTTCGTGGTTTCCTGGATTTTCAAGCGGGGATTCGTTATCGCAAGGTCCAATCGTACACCTCGTGCCGAGGCCTGGTATAGGTGCTCAAAAAGCAGTTAACTTTGGCAAAATACAATTGAGTGCATGCCAGATTTTACTGCTTTTTGAGCCATGATTGAACAACTTAGTTACGGGCTTCATCACGACGCGCCGTACTGTCTTCGCGTATTCGTTAGCCGACGAATTGACGGCTGGGTAGGGAAGTAGTCTGTCTGAGAATCCATTTGTTGTCTCCTCGGGCTTTCCCACAGCGTCTGCAATCCCCTCAAATTTGTTCGCTTGCCGGTATATTGCGGCGAGGGGCCAGGGAACAGCTTCTAAATCGCAACGCATCAACAAGTGATAATGTCTTGTTGGAGCGTTCTTAAGGAGATTGTGGCACGTCTTGAGAAAGGCTGGCAACTTGATAATCAACTTTGATTGGACAGACTGTACACGTGTCACAACAAATGAAAATTTGCACTTCTGAATTTGGCGAATGATGGCAGCCTCTCGTAGAAGCTGGAAAAGACAGAAATATACGATATTTCCAAGCTTTGAAAAAAATAACACAGCAGCGAGCAGAAAATATTCTTAGAAATTCGCTTGTAGCTTTTATTCGAGATTTATAGAATAGAGAAAAATTTGCCGTAGTTAATATCACTTGTCCCTCATTTTCTTACTCTTCAAACAGCTATTACGACGATTTCATGTCAAACTTACTTTTAAATTGGATATTTGCCCGCTGTTTACGTTAGCATAGGACGACGGGAAAAAATTGATTAATACGTTCGAAAAGTCTGCTTTTCAAAGAATTGTGGAAATTTCCTCTCCGTTTTACCTTTCGGTCACATTAAATAAGACATAAAACGTACCCTAACCCAATGATTAGAAAGCGTACAGGGCAATCACAATCACATTGTGTATCGCAATACATGTGCACAGGATGACCATTTTAATCTTATAGCAATATGTTTATGGTACATGAGTCAACATTCAACATTTGTGTGTTTTATATGGAGGATGTTCAGCAATTTGAACAGCTAGTGTTCTGAATGTAAGTTAGTCTTCAACTCTGAACATATGCAGTCTATAAATTCTCAATCTCCCAAAATTTATCCCCAATAAAGGAAAAAGTATATTTTTGAGACAATCAAATTTAATGGTCGAGCTGTCCAGATACTGTAAGTGCTCACTCAACATCTGCGACTTATTAGCTGATCTGATGTTACTGTAAACATTTGCTTGAGATTTTCTTGTTGGTCTGAATGATTTGAGAAAGCTGATCTTGTGTTCTGAACGTTATATTAGTTTAGTTCAGTTCTAATTTAGGTTGAAATGCAAAACTACTCGAAAGAATATTTGTGAAAGTGTCATCAAGTTGAGTTTCGAGGCCCTCCTGAGTCATACATAATCATATTTCTCATGCACACATTGTACTTTGATAAAAGCCTTTCATAATCTCATTTAGTATTCAGCCCAATTGAGTCCATTCCTGTTTATCCTATGAAACGAAGCAAACTGGTGAAGTTCCTTCTGAGCCAGCTTTGATAAGAAAACCGTTGAAAAATAGGTAAGTTTATTATAGAAACGTGAAATGTTGATATGCGAATCACAATGACTTATGACTTATGTGAGTGTAGGAGGATGCTGTGACGGTAGTCACTGTGAAGACTTATTAGAATTTGGAAACCGAAGGCAGCAAAACGAGGATTCGAAGCGGAAAACAAAGCTTTCGACTTATATACAACAACAATAAAATTTGTTTGGTTTGAAAGTTGCGATAGTTGGTCAACTGTAAACAATACTTGACTTTCTCTTCTTTACGAAACTTTTTCTCTTTGAAGGTTCAATCATTGCAGCATCACGGCCAAAGAAGCTGATTAATCGAGGATGTAATCTAAAATGGCTTTGGAAAGCTAGAGAGTGTTAAAGATTAGACAAGAAAAAGAGAATTTTCTCTACCTAAAATGCAGCGCAGTGTTTTTGGGTTGCTCCAGTATTTCTCCGTCCAAATTCCAGACACCAGGATCCACCTGATCTGCGTCTGGTTCGAACGACCACCGCAAAACTCGAAAGCAACACAGCGTTCGGTCTAGTTGGTATAACTAAAAAATTTCGCTTAGCACATAAGCAGATATGATTAAAGCAGTGCGAAACCTAACCCCTTTTCCTCCGTACATCGCCACTTTCCTCATGAACTGTATGTTATGACATCGAGAAATCCTCGGAACTAGAGCCAAGTCCAAGGTCCCATCACCGATTCCCAAAATAGATTAGCTGTCAAGCTTACTCTGATTGTAAGGATGATAATGAAGAACACTTACCGGTGAACGGTGCCAGACCGTAAGGCGTGAAGGGTGTAACAGTCGGGATCACACAGCAGATCACATGAGTGAATTCAGCATGCCAGTGGTAGTCATACCGCGGAAAGGCCGTAACCACCTGGCTGTCACTCCTGAAGGATACGAATAACTGACCCAGTTAGAACACAAAAAAGGCCCTACTTTGACGACTTGTCGCATGCATCACATGGCTTAACACATGCGGGTAGCATTTTGTTCGGATCTTCTGTCTCCTTTTGCGATAATGTGAAAGAAACCTTTCCTTTGTAGATTGGATGCCGTATCGTCGTGCGCAGTGCTGAAAGAAACACTTTAAAAGCTGAAAAACTCTCTGAAAGACTTACCGCTCCATTGATATCTGATAGGACCCAGCCATCGATAACGTTCGGAATCTCGCAGGACATCTCCCAACCACCCGTATGAAATCGCATTCGCCGATATTCGTATCAATTTATTGTTCTCGTGTACAGTGCACACGTCTACGTTGCATTCGGAACCTAAAACCGGCTATTACAGGACATTGGCGATTGCAAGAAGGGTGTCTTATATAAGGCAATAAACATGGATGCCAATCAACCTCATACCAGATCGGAAAAGATAGTGCTCCATACATCACTCTCGAGTTCCTTTAGCGCTATAATTGTTGGAAGCAAATTTGTTGAGTTACATTAGGAGAAGCGCTTATTGCAACCTCTTCTAGAAAAACTTGAAACTTGGTTCTGATGGCTGACCAGTCATAAGTTTTCTATTGCTGACTTTATTTATAGACCCAGTAGAGATAAAAATCTTTAGCCGAATCATGACAGCCAA